AGAGAGAGAGAGAGAGAGAGAGAGAGAGAGAAGGAAAATGAAAAAGCAAGCCACCAGGTCTGGGAGTCGAACCATGGTTGGCCATGTGGGAGTCCAGCACTTCAACCACCACACTACCTGCCAGCCCCAAGACATATAGAATTTTCAATGGAGGATAAGTTTTGTTTTGTTTTTAATAGGATTTTTTTGTTTTTGTTTTTTCTTTTTCTTTGAGAGGTTTTTGCTATAGGGTGCATGTGCTCACCAGAAAGACAGAGAGAGACAGAGAGAAAGAGAGTGAGAAATCACCCCCTGGTGGATGACCACACCACTATCCCTTATCCTCCATTCTCCTCTTGGGATCTTGGGCCTGCACACACATGCACCTGGTGTGAGTTTTAAGCCACCGGGTCCAGGAGGCGAACCACGGTTGACTATAGGGGAGTCCAGTGACATAGCCATTACGTCAACTGCTGGTCCAAGGTTTTGTTTTTTGTTTTTTGTTTTTTTTTAAGAAAAACTTAAAAAATGTATTTAATTTATTTTAATTTGATCAGAGAGGGAGAGAGAGAGGGAAAGTAAGAAAGCAAGCCACCAGGTCTGAGACTCGAACCATGGTTGGCCATCTGGGAGTCCAGTGCCCTTAATCACCATACCACCTGCTGGCCTCAGAGGTATTTTTGAAAGCATCTTGTATTGTAATCCTTCCAGCTCAACCTTTTCAACCACTTAGGACCACAGACATAGCCACTGCACCCAGCCAGTTTTTAGTTATGGCTGGGAACTAATATGGGCCTTTTGTGTGTGTCCCGGGCCATCACACAGTGGCACTTTCCCAAGTGTTAGCACTTTTTATTATTCAATAAATTTTGGTTGGTAATTATTTATATCATCTTCATTATAACATAAGGCATAGTTCTCCCTAATTAAATAGGTTTTTATTTTCTCTCTTTTTTTTTTTAAGAATGTTTCCAATTGAATAAAGCAAATTTTGCCAGTTTTCTTCTATCATTCTTATATTTTCAGAATAAAAAATAGAAGTATTTATTTATTTATTTTTGAGAGGTTTTGCTTTAGGGCGTGTGTGCTCTCCAGAGAGAGAGAAACAGAAACAGTGAGAGCGAAAGTGAGAAATTATCCCCCAGGGGAGATAGCTATGCCATAGTCCCTTCTCCTCGTCTCCTCCTGGGATCTTGGGCATGTACACACGCTCTCAGTGTGCGTTTGAAGCCACCAGGACTCCAAACGTGGGCAGACGTGGGAGTCCAGTGATGTGACTATTACACCATCTGCTGGCCCCCAAGCTTACATGTTTTTAATTGGTTATAAAAGGTACATGAATGAGAAAAATTAATTTGTCTTGATCTCTTGAAGAGAATGAAATATACTGATTTGTGTCAAGTTCTTACATGGCTTTTGAGAGTATTTAGTTTTATTAACTATTTTCCTTTTTCTTTCCTGCTTTTATTTAATTTTAAACCACTAGGAACATGTTCGACAAGCTGAACCGTGATGCCTTTCATATAGTTTCTTATTTTTTGTTTCAAACACTGGACCCATCGCTCACCAAAGAAGTTTTCAAGTAAGGACAAATTATATTCTTTTCTTACATTATTCTCAAATTTGAAAACAGACTATATCTTGATATAAGTCAGAACTTAACTTTGGCCTTTGACTGTTGTTTTTAATGGATATCATAAATTTAGTGTTTAACCTTAATAAATCTGAGTGGTATTTCTTTGGTACCTGTCTTAAGAGTGTATATACGTATGTGTGTGTGTGTGTGTGTGTGTGTGATACATTTCTTCTATTTGTTTATTTATCTGTTGGGTTGTCAGGAAAGTCATGACACTTTTTTTTTAGGAAAACATAGGAAAATATGTCATAACTTTCTCGACAACCTAATTTTTATTTGCTATGATTTTTAGGCCTTCAAGTCTGGGACTCAAACTGTGGTTGGCCATGTGAGAGTCTAGTGTCTTAATCGCCATGCCATCTGCTGGCCCCAATATTATGTTTCTTAATATCATTATGTATTTCATAGATAACAGGTTTTGTTTTATAAATTTAGTTCTTCACATTTTTCATGGTCTTTATTATTCAGAACAATTAAGTGATATTAGTCTATATACTGAACTTTGCCTCTCCCTTTTTGGCTAAAAACCTAATGTTCCTTACTACTTTCTTGTAGTCAGTATATATATATTTTTTTTAACTAATTCTCTATAAAACTTTACTTTTTGAAGTGAGATATATATATATATATATATACACACACACATAATGTAGTGGCTATAGGCAAAAATCAGTCCTATTAAATGTAACACATTGTTACATACTATTAAATATTAAATGGTTAAGAAGAAGATGAAGGACTGGCCCTGTGACTTGGTGGTTATGGGAGCTCGGTCCCATGTGGCCAACTGCATGGTTCAAATCCTGGCTCTCATGGGTTGAAATACACACAGGCATAGTGCTTGTGTGCCCAAAATCCCAAGTGGGTAAATAATTGGAAGAGAAGGAATTGTGGCATGATCATGCCTCTCGTGAGGTGCTCTCTACCCCTCTTTCTATGCTGAGTATGTTTGCCCTCTGGCAAATTATAAAAAAGAAGATAAAAAGTGTGACCATCTACTACCCTTGGTTCTAATATTTTTCATGTGATGTGGATTTCTTCTGTCTGTCAAGTTTTCTGATTTTTTTAAAAAATATTTATATTGTGCTATCAGTCTCTTATACAGAAAAACAACAAGTAAAGTTACTGTTTAGGCTATTATTTTTATTTAAAAAATTTATTTTTTTATTTAATTTTATTCATTGTCATTATTTTATTTGATTTTTTTGAAGTTGACCAGAGAGAGAGAGGAAAGTGAGAAAGCAAAACTGCCAGGTTGGGGACTTGAACTGTGGTCAGCCATGTGGGACTCTAGCTGCCTTAACCACCATGCCACCTGTCGGCTCATTATTTTCATTTTTAGCAATATATTCTTTTTTTGTTTGCTTGTTTGTTTTGGAGAGGTTTTTGCTATAGGGTGTGTGCGCTTGTCAGAGAGACAGAGAGACAGAAAGCAAGAAATCACCCCCCGGGGGTATAGCCCCATTGCAGTCCCTTCTCCTCCATTCTCCTCTCGGGATCTTGGGCACGCACGCCCATGTGCCCAGTGTGTTTTAAGCCTTCGGGTCCGGGACGTGAACTGCGGTCTACTACATGGGAGTCCAGCGACATAGCCATTACGCTAACTGCTGGTCCCGACAATTTATTCTTAATTTTTGTCCTCATTTAAAGTTAGAAGTGCCTAGGAAAATGGATATATTTGAAATTTTTTTTGAAATTGTTGTCATTAATGTATAGGACTTTCTCTATTCTATAAATAGATTTTGTGATTTGTTTTCCTTGCCATCAACAAAATATGGCTTTTTTTTTTTTTTAAAAAAAAAGCTTATTTTAAGCAATTTGAAATATATAAAAAAAATTAAAAAGACAAAAGTAAAACTCATTTCTAAACCTACTACCCAGAAAACAATGCTCTTAATTTTCCAGCCTTTAAGTCTTTTCTTTCCCCTCTGTGCACTTATTTTTTTCCCATGAATATAAAATGTATTTTATATTGTGAAGATAATAAAAACATGAGGCCTTAAACATGTAATTATGCCTCAATAAAAATTTGGACAAAACTGATTATTAAGGGAAAGCAATAGATAGAGTTTTTAAATTTAAATTTATTTATTTTTAATGCCAAAGAGTATGTATTTGGTGAGAGGGAGAAAGAGAAAGTATTCCCCAGTGAGGCCTGGTCATGCTACAATCCCTTCCTGTTTGGATTCTGATGCACTGCACCTGATTTTTCAAGCCAACAGGTCAGGATTCAAACAGTGGTTCGCCACTCCTGCCACATAGGACTTCTCTGCTGTGCTATGGGGACCAGACCAATAGATAGGCTTATAGTCTAATATTTTAAACTAAAGCTAAAGCAAATCTTGTCTAACATTTTTATGTCTTGTTTAGTCACACAACAGCACCTTCTTGCTATAATATGGGCTGTTATCTCTAGGAGTCAGGCTCTCTGATGTCGTTCCTTCTCTGCTGTCCATGTGTATGTATCACTAGGTTTCTCGCCTGTAAAATTCTTTTGTTTTCCAGGCTTAAAATACTAATTTATTTATGCTATTTTTATACACTTGACCTGTGGATCCATGAGAGTGTTGATTTTAGCTAATTTTCACTGATTTATTTTTAGTTTTTCTTTTAAGTGATTGTTTATTTAATTTTATTATTATTATTATTATTATTTTTGAGAGGTGTGCGTGCTTGCCCGAAAGACACAGAGAGACAGAGAGACAGAAAGCGAGAAATCACCCCCCAGGGGAGATGGTCATGCTGCAATCCCTTCTCCTCCATTCTCCTCTCGGGATCTTGGGCACATATGCACATGCACCTGGTGTGAGTTTAAGCCACTTGGTCCGGTACTCAAACTGTGGTCGACTACATGGGAGTCCAGTGATGCAGCCATTATGATATCTGCTAGTCCCTATTATTATTTTTTAATTTGACCAGAGAGAAGTAGAGAGAGAGAGAGAGAAAGATAGATATAGAGAGGGAAATTAAGAAAGTAAGCTGCCAGGTCTGGGAATCAAACTTCAGTCAACCATGTGGGAGTCCAGCACCCCAACCACTACGCTACCTACTGGCCCCTTTTTTTAGTGTTTTGCCATAGGGCACGTGTGCTTGTGGAGAGAGGGAAAGCAAGAAACCAATCCCCAGGGGGCAATCCCTACTGAGCATGCACTCACATGTGCCCAGCTTCATATTCAGGCTGCCATATCTGAGACTCGAACCATGATCGGCTACGTGGGAGTCTAATACCTTAACCACTATACCACGTGCTGGCCCAATTTATTTATCTTGTTTTACTTTTTTAAGAGAGATTTTTGCTATAGGGTGTGTATTTGCCAAAGAGACAGAGAGACAGAAAGCGAGAAATCACCTGGGGGAGGGGGGATGGCCACGCTGCATTCCTTTTTCCATTCTCTCAGGATTTTGGGCATGCACACACACATGCTCAGTGTGAGTTTTTTAAGCCACCAGGTCTGGGACTGGAACTGTGGTCGACCATGTGGGAGTCCAGTGACATAACCATTTTGCCATCTGCTGGTACAGATTTTATTTATTTATTTTTTTCAAAGATTTACTAATTTTATTCATTCATTCGTTTATTTTAATTTGACCAGAGAGAAATGGAGAGAGAGGTAGAAAGTGGGAAAGAGAGAGAGAGAGATAGAGATAGAGAGAGAGAGAGAGAAATTGGGAAAGCAAGCCACCAGGTCTGGGATTCGAACTGTGGTTAGCCATGTGGGTGTGTCCAGCGCCTTAACCACCATGCCACATGCTGGCCTCCTCAAATTTATTTACTTATTTATCTATCTATCTATTTATTTATTTTTCTTTCTTTCTCTTTTTTTTTTTTTTTGAGAGGTTTTCGCTATAGGGCGTGTGCGCTCACCAGCCAGACAGAGAGAGACAGAGATAGAAAACGAGAAATCACCCCCTGGGGGGATGGTCACGCCACAATCCATTCTCCTCTCAGGATCCTGGGCACGCACGCACACGCGCCTGGCGTGAGTTCTTAGCCACCGGGTCCAGGATGCAAACTGCGGTCGACTACATGGGAATCCAGCGACATAGCCATTATGCTAACTGCTGGTTCCCATCAAATTTATTTTTTTTAATTTAAGCTTTTTTTTAAAAAAATTTACTATAGTATGCTTGTGCTTGCTGGGGAGAGAAAGAAAGCACTGCTTGGGGGAATGGCATCGCATAGACAATCCTTTTCTTCCATTCTCCTCAGGATTTTGGCTATACATGTACATATGTCCAGCATGTTTTTCTCTTTTTTGTTTTTCCTAGAGTGATTTTTGCTATAGGGCACTTGTGTTCTTGAAAGAGAGACAGAAAGTGAGAAATCATCCCCTAGGGGATGGCTACGCTGGAATCCCTTCTTCTCCATCTTCCTGTTGGGATTTTGGGCATGCATGCACATATGTCTACTGTGAGTTTTAAGATGATGGGTCCAGAACTTGAACCAGAACTCACTAATGTGAGAGTCCAGTGATGTAACCATTAGGCCATCTGCTGGTGCCTCTATGGGAGGATTTTCAGACCACTAGATCTGTGACTGGAACCATGTAGTTGGTTGATCCAGGAACTTAACCATTGTATTACCAACTGGCTGAGCTTCAGTAATTTTAATAACTATTCGTTCTTACTTTTAATACATGTATTCATTAATTATTTACACTGTACTTTATAACTCTATCTTATAGATATTTACAATGAAAAATACCCAGTTTTTTGCAGGATGGTGTCTCTTTTTAGCTGATTTATAAGAATGTTAGATATAATTTATTTAGCTTTAATATTTTCACTATGGGTAGTAAGTATGTTGTTTGTAAAATTTTATTCAGTTTGTTTCTTTTGTTCATAATTCTAATGCTTTCAATTTTGTTTTTAAGATTTTGCTGGCCTCCATTTGACCAAAAAAATGATACCGAATTCCGGAAACATTGCTGTGAATGGTTGAAAAATATTTCTGTAAGTGTTGTCTTTTTGGGAGTTAACTAAAAGAAGTTGAACTAAAGAAGTTAAAAACCACACAAACACATATAAAATTTTTTTAGGTGAAATCTTATAAATGCTTTTGTGTTAGCAGAATAAACAAGGAAATACTAATTTCAGTTTTGATGTTTTATGGTTCTGATTCTCTACATTTTGTTCTTTTTACATTTTTTTTTTTAAGAGAGATTTTTGCTATAGGGCACATGTATTCACTGGAGAGACAGAAAGTGAGAAATCATCCCTCAAGGATTTGGTCATGCAGCAGTCCCTTCTTCTCTATTCTCTCCTTGGGGTTTTGGGCAAGCATGCACACATACCTGGTGTGATTTTCAAGCCACTGGGTCCATGGCTAGAACTGTGGTTGACATGTGGGAGTCCAGTGATGTAACCATTATGCCATCTGCTGGTCCCATGTTTCTCCGTATTTTTTTTTTTTTTTTTTTTTTTGGAGAGATTTTCACTGTAGGGCGTGTGTGCTCGCCAGACAGACAGAGAGAGACATAGAGACAGAAAGCGAGAAATCACCCCCCAGGGGGGATGGTCACGCCGCAATCCCTTCTCCTCCATTCTCCTCTCGGGATCTTGGGCACGCACGCACATGGGCCCGGCGTGAGTTTTAAGCCACCGGGTCTGGGACACGAACCGTGGTCGACTACGTGGGAGTCCAGCGACATAGCCATTACGCTAACTGCTGGTTCCCGATTCTCCGTATTTCTAAGAAATCATCTTTGCTAGCTACATGTACTGGAAATAGGTATAGTTCCTGGGAGTTTTTAATATCAAAATTTTTGTTTGGAAAAACCTTTTTTTCCCCAGGTTTATTTATTTTTTTTTTATGAGAGCCTATGCATGCATAAGAGACAGAAAGAGAGGAAGAAAGATACCCTCCACACAATCCTTTTTCTCAACCCTCTGCCTTATCATGATCTGAGTAGACTCTTTGCTGGTTCACTGAGAATCTTAGCTGTGGTCACCCATGTGGCTTCCGGCACTTAGTTCAGTACTACCTGTACCACTTAGTCTGGGCCAAGGAAAAACTTTTTTGATCCATGTATTATTATTTTTTTTAAAGAATTATTTAATTTTATTCATTATCATTATTTTTAATTTGACCAGAAAGAGAAAGAGAGAGAGTAAATGAGAAAATGAGAAAGCAAGCCGTCAGATCCAAGACTCGAATTGTGGTCGACCATGTGGGAGTCCAGTGCTTTAACCACCATGCCACCTGCTGGCCCTTACTCAGATTATTTTAGCATTTCCCTAATAGTATTAATAAATGTGGCTTTGTTATTTTTTGTGTGTGTTCAAGTCTACATAGAATTTAGGAAAATTAAAAAATACAATCTTGATCAGTTTTTTTGTACTTCAAAATTAGTATATTGTAAATACAAGAGTTACTGTTGATAAGGTCTTCAAATCATTATGTTTCTTTTTTCCATAGGCTGAATGTGGAAATAGCTTTCCTCAAGTTGTTGGTTCACTATTTCTTTCTCCTGGTGGTCCTAAGTTTATTCATCTGATCTATCATTTTGCAAGATTTGTTGCAATAAAACATATTAAAACAAATTCTAAAAGTAAGTTATGCTTATAGGAGGAATGGTTTTTGTTTCAGTTCTTAAATTTCTATTGTCCTTCACAATTTTTAAATCATCAAAAGATTTTAATAAAACAAGGTAAGTTAAAATATTTATTTACCTTGAAAAGCAAATAGTTAATTGTTTTAAATTTATTTTTATTCATAAGAAAACTTGTGACTATGCATGAGAGAAAAAGAGACAGAGACAGACAGCTATCCTTGGCAGGATATCGTCATGCAGCAATCCCCTAATCCCCTTCCTTAGCACTCCAGCTCTATCTAGGTGTGCATGCACTTGAAATTTGAACTAGTGCATTTGAGATCTGAACTAGTAAGTTGGCCATGTGGCTTCCTGCACTGAATTTTTTTTTTTTTAGAGAGATTTTTACTATAGGAAGTGTATGTTCACCAGAGAGAGACAGAGATGAAAAGCAAGAAATCACCCCCCGGGGGTGGGGAGATAGCTGTGTCTCAATCTTTTGTCCTCCATTCTCCTCTCAGGATTTTGGGCATGCATGCACACACACCTGGTATTAATGTTAAGCTGCTGCGTCCAGGACTCGAGCCACAGTCAACTACATGGGAGTACAGTGACGTAACTGTTATGCCATCTGCTGGTCCCCTGGTGTGAGTTTTAAGCCACTAGGGCCAGGACTTGAACCACAGTCAACCACATGGGAGTCCAGCAACGTAACCATTGTACCATTATACCATCTGCTGGTCTTGCCAGCACTGAATTTTACAATAGTATGCGTCTGTTTGTGCCACCAAGGCAAGGCTACAGATAGTTAATGTTCTACTGGAACAGTAGTTAGAAATTGCCTTATAATGAATATAAGTTACTACTATTGACATTATTTTATGAGAAAGGAAAATATTTACATTATTATTATACAGGGGTTGGGAAATACTTCCTATATAAACTTAATTGTAGTATTTCAGGCTTTGCTGACCATTGGGTCTCTCTTGCATATTTTGTTTTGTTTTTACAACCCTTTAAAGATTTATAAACCACTTCTACCTTTTTGGACTTAGAAAAACAGCCAGTGGGTCAAATTAGTACCCCTGCCTGTATTGGCTGCTAATACATCATGTTACATGATTTGTTGAATGTGTTAGAGATTTCACTGGCAATGTGCTGGAAGTTTCTATTTTATTTCTATTTGATTTATTTACTAGTTCACTGGAATAAAAATTTGAATTTTTTTCCTTCAAGTGCTTTTTTGTTATAGGGCACATGCGCTCGCCAGAGAGACAAAGCAAGAAATTACCCCACCCAGGGGAAATGGCCACGCTGTAATCCCTCCTCTTCCCGGGATTTTGAACATGGATGCACACATGCCTGGAGAGAGTTTTAAGCCGTCAGGTCTGGGATCCAAGAATGCTATTTGTAGTATTCTAAATGTTATTATGATCCATGAACAAGTACATTATAATATCTGAGCTACTGTGCTTCTTAATAAGAGTAATTAGTAATGAAGGAAGGTTAGTTAAGAGATGGGGTGAAATCACATTACCTCGATGCCATCAGTTTACTTTTCCTTCTAGTATCTGCGGTATAGGACAACCAAATAAAACCATTCTCCATTTCTCAAGCAATTCTTGCCTCCATAACTAATGACCAACAACTCATGCAAATCTTTCAGAGCTAGGTTTTTACCTGCAATAAGTGTAATAAATCCTACTCTAACATTTTATACTACAGGGGCCGACAGGTTGTGTGGTCGTTAAGGTGCTGGATTCCTACATGGCTGACTACTGTGTCCCAGACCTGATGGCTGGCTGGCTGGCTGGCTCGCTTTCTCTTTCTTTCTTCCTCCCTCCCTCCCTCCCTCCCTCCCTCCCTCCGTTCCTCGCTCCCCCACCTCCCCTCTCTGTTCAAATTAAAAAAACAATAATAGGGACCAGCAGATGGCATAATGGTTACATCACTGGACTCTCATGTAGTTGACCGTAGTTCAAGTCTTGGACCCAGCAGCTTAAAACTCATGCAGGCGCATGAGAGTGTGTACCCAAGATCCTTAGAAACAATAGGAGAAGGGATTGAGGTGTGGCCATACCCCGGGGTGTGATTTCTTCTTTTCTGTCTGTCTCTCTCTGGCAAGTGCATATACCCTATAGGGAAAAAATTCAAGGAAAAAAGAGGAATAAACTAATTTTTTAAAAAGCATTTTATACTACAAAACGATATGAATATTCTAGAAATTAGGGACTTCACACTGCACTTAAAATAACTCATCTAGGTTTTGGCATTACCTTAAAGAAACCTCTACAGTTTCTAAATATTTAACAGGCACTAACTACTACATTTAGAAGTCATCTAGAATTGACTGGAATTGTTTCAATTAAAAAACAGGACAACCTATGCTAAGAATACTTATGTACAATACATCTATTAAATACAAAAAGTTTTTTTTTTTTTTTTCAGAAAGTTCATGAGGACCAGCCAGTGGTGTGGTGGCTAGGTCAGCTGGATCCCACATGACCGACTACATGGTTGAGTCTTGGACCCAACAGCTTGCTGGGCATATGTACGTGTGTGTCCAAAATCCCCAAAGGAGAGAAAAATGCAGGAGAAAGGATTGCAGCATTATCTTTCTCCCTCCCTACACCCCAGCTCTTTTTAATGAATTTAAGCACCCTCATTTAAAAAAAAAAAAATTTAAAGAACTATTTTAAGAGGCCAGCAAGTGACAGTGGTTAAGGTGCTGGACTCCTGTATGGCTAACTGTGGTTCGAGTCCCAGAGTTGGAGGCTCAAAACTCAGCACTGGGTACTTGTGTGTGTGCCCAATATCCCAGGAGGAGAGTAATGGAGAAGAGATTGTGGCATGGCGGCCATCTTCCCTGTGGGGTAATTTCTCACTTTATGTCTCTGGAGAGCACATGTGCTCTGTAGCAAAAATCTCTAAAAAAACGAATTATTGGGACTATGGCTATGTTGCTGGACTCCCATGTAGTCGACCGCGGCTCGAGCCCCGGACCTGGTGGCTTAAACTCAGGGCGGGCATGTGTGCATACATACCCAAGATCTCGAGAGGAGAATGGAGGAGAAGGGATTGTGGCGCGGCCATCCCCCTGGGGGGTGATTTCTCGCTTTCTATCTCTGTCTTTCTGGTGAGTGCATGTGCCATGTAGCATAAAACCTCTATAAAAAATCAAAAATAAAAACAAATTATTTTGGGCAGGTGGACTTTGAACATTTTTAATTACATAAAACACCTCAAATTCAGAAACCCTTTTTATTATTTTTTTTAAAAGTTTTTATCATAGGATATTTGTGCTTGCTGGAGAGAGACAGAGAGAAAGGGAAAGTGAGATGTCACTCTCTTGAGGGATGGTCATGTTGGAATCATTTTTTCATCCATTCTCAGGATTTGTGGGCACTCATGCACAGGCGCTTAGCATGATTTTCAAGCCACTGGGTCCAGGACTCATCCACTGTGTTCACCACCATGTCACCTGCTGGCCCCCAAATACCCTTTTTTAGTTGCTTACTTTATAAGAAGGTCTTCTGGAGCTGGCAGGTGGCATGGTGGTTAAGGTGTTGGACTCCCACATGACCAACTGTGGTTCAAGTCCCAGACCTAGTGACTTGCTTTCTCACTCCCTTTCTTTCTCTGTGTCTCTGATCAAATTTAATAATAAATAAATAGAATAATCCTTTCTTTTTTTTTTTTTTGTAAGAGAGTTTTTTGTTAGGGTGCATGTGCTCTCCAGAGAGATGGAAAGACAGAGAGACAGCAAGCAATCACCCCCCAGGGTGGATGGCCACATTGCCATCTCTTCTGCATTCTCCTCTTGGGATCTTGGGAATGCATGCACACACACCCAGCGTGAGATTTAAGCCACCAGGTCTGGGACTTGAATTGTGGTTGACTGTCTGGGAGTCCAGCGATATGATAGTTATGCCATTTACTGGCCCCCGATAGAATAATTCTTTAAAAAAAAAAAAAAAAGTATGGGCAGGCCCTGTAGCCAAGTGATTTAGAGAGTCATATCCTACATGGCTGACCAGTTTGAATCCTGGCCCTGTGATTTGAAAAACATACCTGGTATGTGTACATATGTGCCCCAAGTCCTGACAGTATGGAGAAATGGGGAAGGGATTGTGGCATGACCATGTCCTACTGGGAATGTGCTTTCTCTTTCTCTTTCTTTTTGCCTCTGTCTCTCTCTGGTGAGTACCCTTGGACAATTAAAAAAAATTAGTTGTATCATTTTAAAAGCTTATGTGGCATATTAAGGAGTTATATGACATTAATTTCTTAAAATTCAACATTTTTGGTGTTAATTCACTTGTAAATCTGTTTTCTTTGCTTTTATTTGTATTCTATGTAGATCCTTCTCTGTGTTTTACAAAGACATTTAATACAAAGCCACAAGATTTGAGCAAGTGCATTGCTAGATGCCATGTAGCCCGTAACAGATTTTTACAGATTTTGCAAAGAGAGGATTGTGTTACCCAAAAATATCAAGAATGTGCACAGTAAGTAATATTTTGAGAGAAAACAATTCCTTTCTTTTTTCAAAAAATATCATCAATATAATTTCAGTAGAAATAATCCGTGCCTACTTCAAAAGTCTGGCTATTATCTTTCCATTTTAAATTTAGATAACTTCTGAACAAAATATTTTAAAAGTTTAGGTATACTGGGCCAACAGGTGGTGTGGTAGTTAAGGTGCTAAATTCCCACATGGCTGACCACAGAGTCTGAGACTTGAAGGCTTGCTTTCTTTCTTTCTCTCTCTCTGGCTGGTCAGCATACATGCCCAATAAATATATATAAAAAATGTTTAGGCATTTCTAGTGTGCTTTGTGTTTTTATATGGAAATATATTTTCAAGCTGTAATTGTGTTTTACTTTGTTTTCTTTTTTATATTTATTTATTTATTTTATTTTATTTTTTACTGGAGAGATTTTTGCTATAGGGCAACTGTACTTGCCAGAGAGACAGAAAGTGAGAAATCACCCTGTTGGCCATGCCCCAGTCCATTCTCCTCATTGGATCCTGAGCATGTGTGCACATATGCCTAGCATGAGTTTTTTTTTTTAAATAATAATAATAATTTTTTTTTTTTTTTGAGAGCTTGTTTTGCTATAGAGCGTGTGCGCTCGCCAGCCAGCCAGAGACAGACAGAGAGACAGAAAGTAAGAAATCACCCCCCAGGGGGGATGACCACACCGCAATCCCTTCTCCTCGATTCTCCTCTCGGGATCTTGGGCACGCACGCACACGCGCCCAGTGTGAGTTTAAGCCACCGGGTCCGGGATGCGAACTGTGGTCAGCTACATCGGAGTCCAGCGACATAGCCATTACGCTAACTACTGGTCCCTTTAAGAATTATTTTATTAACTTTATTTATTTATTATAATTTGACCAGAGAGAGGCAGAGCAAAAGAGAGAAGGGTGGGGGGAAGTGAGAAAGCAAGTCACCAGGTCTGGGACTCGAACCACGGTTGGCCATGTGTGGGTCTGGCTCTCTTAACCACCATGCCACTTGCCAGCTCCCCAGCATGAGTTTTAAGCTGCCGGGACTGGGACTTGAATTGTTGACTATGTGGGAGTCCAGCAATGTAACCATTATGCCATCTTCTGGTTCCTGTATTGATATTTCATCCTTTAAGCTTTTCTGTCTTGCTTTAATATATTGCTTGTAATATTTAATAGTCTGTTGAGTTATTCATTAAATAGAAATTCCTGTTAGGTATTTAGTAATTTTCTTAACCATTTCATACTGTTTTATGTTTAAGTTAATCTTTTCAACCATTTTTTAGAGTTTTTCCTGGACCAGATAGTATTTAGGGCAACTTTTTCTTTTCTTTTTTTCTTTTTTTTTTTTTTTTTAGAATTATTTATTGAGGGTGGCAGGTAGCATGGTGGTTAAAGTGCTGGACTCCCACATGGCCAACTGTGGTTCGAGTCTTGGACCTGGTGACTTGCTTTCTTACTTTTCTTTCTCACTCTCTGGTCAAATTGAAAAAAAATAAATAAATCAATCAAATTAAAATAAATAATTCTTTAAAAAAATTATTTACTTAGGGGCCAGCAAGTGGCATGATGGTTAAGGCACTGGACTCCCACATGACCGACTGCAGCTTGAGTCCTGGACCTGGCTTTCTCTCTGTCTCTCTGAGGTGAGCCTTAACCACCAACCACCTGCTGGCCCTTATTATTATTTTTTTTTAATGTGCTCACCAGAGACAGAGAGAGGGGTAGGAGGAACGAGAAAGCAAGCTGCCCGGTGCAGGATTCTTACTGTGGTCAGCCATGTGGGAGTCTAGCATCATAACCACCTACCACCTGCTGACCCTTAGGCAATATTTTAACTCTCAAGGAATACATTATATCTGACATTTTTTCTTTTCTTTTTTTTTTTTGGAGAGATTTTCACTGTAGGGCGCGTGCGCTCGCCAGACAGACAGAGAGAGACATAGAGACAGAAAGCGAGAAATCACCCCCCAGGGGGGATGGTCACGCCGCAATCCCTTCTCCTCCATTCTCCTCTCGGGATCTTGGGCATGCACGCACATGTGCCCGGCGTGAGTTTTAAGCCACCGGGTCCGGGACATGAACCGTGGTCGACTACGTGGGAGTCCAGCGACATAGCCATTACGCTAACTGCTGGTTCCCTCTTTTTATTTTTTTAAGAGAGATGTTTTTGCTCTAGTGTGTGTGCACTTGCCAGAGAGACAGACAGATAGAAAATGAGAAATCATCCCCCCAAGGGTTTGGGGAGAAAGCCACACCACAATCCCTTCTTCTCCAATCTTCTCTCAGGATTTTGGGCATGCACGCGTATGCATCTGGCGTGAGTTTTAAGTTGCTGGGTCCAGGACTTGAACTACAGTTGACTACATAGAACTCCAGCCACATAACCATTACGACATCTGCTGGTCCCTACAGCTAATTTTTTTTTTGAGAGGTTTTTGCTATAGGGTGCATGTGCTTACCAGAAAGACAGAGAGAGACAGAGAGACAGGAAGCAGGAAATCATCCCCCGGGAGGGATGACCACGCTGCAATCCCTTCTCCTCCATTCTCCTCTCAGGATCTTGGGCACACACGTACACGTGCTCAGCGTGAGTTTTAAGCCACCGGGTCTGGGACGCAAACTGCAGTCGTCTACGTGGGAGTCCAGTGACAGCCATTACGCTAACTGCTGGTCCCTATAGCTAATGTTTTACAATGATAGGTAGTTGCAGTAAGATAACTTTTTAAATGCCTTGTTATCTATTACTATTGAAATGAAATGTTCTGTAGGACTGTGAGACAAGAGTAAGAGCAGAATAGTCTTCAAGACCTCTAGCATTTTACTCAAAGAATTTAGTATACTAGCCTAAAAGTCCTGGTCTTATGTCAGTAGCAGCCTGTATGTTAGATTGCTTGTATGACTTTTAAAGGGAGTCTAGAGTCCTTTAGCTGACTGTGGAGTGTCTCCAGAGGCTTTGGGCAGAGGTATAAGAAGGGAAAATGTGAATGGGGGCTAATTAATTTTAATGGAATTATAGTTATCTGTTTATATGTTTTCTCACAGATTGTCCGTTAAGCAAGTACGAAATTTGAGATCAGAAAGTATAGGACTGCAAAACCAAATAAAAAAGTAAGTGAATTTTAGAGCCAGAATTTGCTGTAGATCATAGTTTAGCTCTTGTATTTTATAGATGAGGAAATGAAGAGTCTCAGAAACATCAATTAAAGTAATATTTCAGCAGCTAGATGATGATAGGAGTATAACATAGATCTGACTAGTCTGGTTCTTCTAAAAATTTTTTGTTGCTTTGAGTATGAATTTTATCTTTTTATTATTAATTTTATCTTTTTTTTTTTTTTGTATTTATATTCTTTCTTTCATGGGAGAGAGGGACACACAAAGTCACCCTTTCCAGGGTCTTACCATGCCACAATCTTTCCCACAGCCTCCCAGCTAGCTAGGATCCCAACCATGTGCAAGTGTATCTGACATGTCCAGATCAACCTGGGATTCAAACCTGGAACCTTCCCATTTGGCTCCAGTATCATGTAGGAGTACCCTACTGCTTGTGCCACTACAGCTGAGCCTTATTTTTGTTTTAATTGATTGTTAGTTTAATTAGAATGTTTGTTTTAATTGATTGTTAGTAGATGGATTTGCAGACCACTTGGTTCATTTGGATGTTAAATTACCCTGTGATTTCTTATGACTAATTTGATTATTACATTTTTACTAGAATGGAACCCTATGATGACCAAAGTAATATACAAGAGAAAATTAAAAAGGTGAGGACAACTTTTGAAGGGAGTTTAATCTTTCTTACCTTTGTGATATGCAGTGTTCAATTAATTGGCTCATATTCTCTGTTTTTCTGCTTTTTTTTTGTAGTTATAGTACTATTAATTTTATTTTTTATTTTTAAGAATTATTTTAGTTAACATTTTTACTTTCTTTTTTTCAGATTTGACCAGAGAGGTAATGAGTAAGAAAGTGCGCATGCGCGCGCCAGTGAGCGGGGGCAGGGGGATGGGGGAGTAAGAAAGGAAGCCACCAGGTCTGGGACTTGAATCAGGGTTAACCCCGTGGGAATCTGAGTGCCCTTCACCACTACGCCACCTGCTGACACAGTACTATTAATTAAAAAAATTTTTTGTTTACTGTGATATATACAAAAATATCAACATGGTGCCTCTAAGACTCTGAAATTAGCTTCAAATTTGTAAGATTAAGTACATATAAAAGTTTTTTTTTCTTTTTTTTAATTTGAGAGAGAAAAAGAGAAGGGAAAGTGAGAGAACAGGAAAGTGAGAAAGCACCCTTAGAGGAGATTTTCATGCCTCTGTCCTTTTTTCTCTATTTCTTCCTTCTTTGGGGAATATTGGCATGCATGTATACATAGACTGTTCTTCAAGACTGAGTCTGGGACTCAAGCCACGTAGTTGGCTATGTGTGGTCCAGCTACCCAACACATATCAACATAAAAGTTCCACTGGATTGTAACTTAATTAGTTGTATTAATTTGTGTAAGTAATCCATATTAATTGAAGGGATATGGTAAATATGGTAGCAAGTGAGTCAGGTTGAGTCTGGCTTGGCAATAGGGTGGAATCTGGTAAGCAAATGATCTGAGGCCTCTAGAGGTTGGCATATCTGTGGGATAAGTGTTTTTTGTCATTGTCTTTTTTTATTTTTTCGCTATAGGGCGTGTGCGCTCACCAGACAGACAGAGAGAGACATAGAGATAGAAAGCGAGAAATCACCCCCCAGGGGGGATGGTCACGCCGCAATCCCTTCTCCTCCATTCTCCTCTTGGGATCTTGGGCACGCACGCACACGCGCCCGGCGTGAGTTTTTTAAGCCACCGGGTCCGGGACGCGAACCGCGGTCGACTACGTGGGAATCCAGCGACATAGCCATTACGCTAACTGCTGGTTCCCTGTCATTGTCTTTTTTGTTTGGAGGCAATCTCTCTCAACCTCTTTGTTGTGATTATAATCACTGAGCTATGAATTTTAATCTGACTTCCCTTGCACCTCATCACTAGAAAGGGTGAGTACCCTCCAAAGAATTAATTCATTCAGCGAATGTATATCAGTCACCTGCCATGTGCCAGCCATCTTCTAGATATTAGGGTTAGCAAGAAATAAAACAGCCAACTTCCCACATGGAGCTTACAATTAGTAAATTGGAACCACTTGTCTTATTGAATACAGTATCTCTAATTGTAAATTTGATAGGTTGTTGTGAAACCTATTAAAGTTTTCACCTTTGGTTGAGTAGTCTACTTTGAGCCATTGAAAAGATAAAATTCTGGGACCAGCAGTTGGTGTAATGGATATTTCGCTGTACTCCCATGTAGACAACTGAGGTTTGAGTCCTGGACCCGGTGGCTTAAGCTCACGCCGGGCGTGTGTGGGTGTATGCCCAATTTCCCAAGAGGAGCATGGAGAAGGGATTGTGGCGTGGCCATAGCCCCTGGGGGGTGATTTCTTGCTTTCTGTCTCTCTGTCTGTCTGGTGAGCACACATGTCCTATAGCAAAAACCTCTCCAAAAAAAGAGAAAAGATAAAATTCTAGACTTAAAAAAAGTCTAAGAACTAGATCCTGGATGATTATAAATTCATCAAAAAAACACCATCATATGAGACCTCTAAGCTGCTAGCCAATGAGTCTTCCTTTGGGGACAACTTTACATGGCCATGGGAACACTTTAATTACAGATATGTAATATTTTACTTGTATTAGGAAGACACAGGCACCATCATGATTATAATTGTATTTCCCTACTTCCCTCCAACTTTTGTAAATTCTCTTGAAGCATGACATGCACAGGCTAGTCCATGGCCTGGTGGTTATGAGAGCTGGATTCCGCATGGCCAACCATGTGCTTTGAGTCTGGACCCAGAGGTTTGAGAAGCACCCAGCATGTGTGCCCAAAATGCCAAAAGGAGGGAGATAAAGAGAAGGGATTGGGATAAGACTATTCCCCAAGGGGGTGCTTTCTCTCTCTCTAGCATGCTCAGGTGCCCCCTGGCAAATTAAAAAAA